GATGCGACAAGGTCATGGAGAGCAAACACCACAGGGACTTGTGGATAACATGCATGTCACTATGAGAAATATTCGAGGATCGGCATCATATTGGCAGAAATGTTGCTCTGAATTAATTGCAATGGTTAGAACTTTAGGGCCTCGCACATGGTTTTTAACATTTTCCTGCAATGATTTAAATTGGTCAGATATGATAAAAGCCTTACTAATTGCCGATGGAGGTAACATTGATGACGTCGAACGCCTGTCATTCAGGGAGCGCTTGAAACTAGTGCAAAAACATCCGGTAGTGATAGCACGACAGTTTACACTGCGTGTTAACGCTCTTATGCGATTCTTAAAGAGAAATAATGTTTGCTTGGGTGGTCCTATTGAAAACTTTTGGCACCGAGTGGAATTTCCGCGGTAGCCCATATCTGCATATGTTGGTCTGGTGTAGTAATGTTCCGGAATTCTCCACTCCAGAAGGAATCGCCGTAATTGAAAAGGTGGTTTCATGTTCATTAAATCCTAATGACTCTACGTTGCGTAAATTAGTCGAGGATTTGCAAATTCATAAACATACAGCGACATGTAAAAAAAACCGCCAAGCTGATGGTTGTCAATTTGATTTTCCGAATCGATCAAGTGATAAAACAGTTTGTCTAGGGCCAGATGAGGCACGTGCTAACAACGGATGATTCTGTTTATTGAAAAGAACCTCAAATGAAACCATGGTCAACAATTACAATCCAGTTCTTTTAGGACTATGGAAGGGGAATATTGACGTCCAACCGTGTGGTAGTGTCACCGTCGCAAAATATGCGAGTAAATGCGAACCACATGATTCAGGTGATGTAATTCGAGACGCTATTTCGAATGCTAAGAGACAAGGTGGTGATGTTTAAAAACAATTGTTCTCAGTATCAATGACTATTTTAAGTCGACGACTAGTGAGTTCGTCCGAATGCGCAAACAGATTATGCCATTTGCCATTAAAAATATCGTCGCGAATGACTGTTTTTGTAAATAGTTGCATGCCAGAGGCACGTTTCAGACTTCTGAGATTCGATAGTGATGAAACCAGTATTTGTAATAACATTTTTGATCGTTATGTATTACGCCCAAATGAGCTAGAGAATTTAAGCCTTGCGGAATATGCCGTCCGTTTTGAAACTGTCTCTAACACGACATGGTCAGAGGACAACGGAGATGCAGGACTGAGGAACGAAGATACTACGCCAGTGAGGTATATCAGGTTGCAGGACAATACTAGAATGCGTGTAAGAAATAGACCGGTAGTATTACGTTCCCGCTATTATACAATTAATAGTGACAAAGAAGCATACTATTACAGTTTAATAGTATGCCACATACCATTTCGTAATGAAAGCGAGTTACTGTTCGAAAATGAAACCGCTGAAGACTGTTTCATAAGGCGTCAAAGTGATCTTCGCCCGTTGCAGGGCAATGTCAGCGCAGAACAATTCGGTTACTCTGAACTAATTATTCAGCAGGCTGTTGCTCAAGCTACCGCACTTAATGCTGCGCATGAAACCGATGTCGGCAATGCACCCATGTTATGTGTTGGTGAACAAATTGTACATGACGATGATAACTTTTGTGAAGACATGGAAGAACGAGCCGTCATGACAGATGAATTGTTCCTGGGAAGCATTAGCTGATTAAATGTACAACAGAGAAATTTATTTCAGAAAGTTTCAACGGCAATCGAAAATGATTTGCAAAGACAAGAAAGTCACCTGTTACTTTTTATCACGGACGGTGCAGGTAGTGATAAATCATTTCTGTTGAAATTAATCGTGGAGCATGTTAAGCGTTGTTACGCACCAACAGTAGATATACTACTGAAGCCTAACTTTGTGGAAGTTGGGTCCTTAAACGGAGTTGCTGCTCGTCAATTTTTTGGTAAAACACTGCATAGTATTTTCTTGCTTCCAATAGAAAAAAAAACTATGACACAAAAAAATTACAGGTCAAACACTCAAGAATGAAAGGCGTAAATGGCGCTATATAAATTGGCTAATCATAGACGAAATTTCTATGGTCTCTTATGAGAACCTAAAAATAACCCACCTAAGACTTCAAGAATATAAAAACAACAACAAATTATTCGGTGGAGTCAACATTTTGGTATTCGGTGATATATTTCAGCTTCCTCCGGTGAAAGGGAATTGGTGTTTTGTGCAGCCATCGTGGTTTTCAGCGGAGGTTAATTTGTGGCATCAGTTTTCTTTTTGTGAATTGACCATAAACATGCGACAGCGCGATGACAGCGAATTTATCGATTTATTGAACAGTTTACGGGTAGGTTAATTGACGACAGCTCAGCTGGAATTGTTATGCAAGCGGCGCCACGTGCCTTTAAATGGTGATTTTGCGGATGGAGCCGCCGTTCGTATTATTCCCACGGTGAGGCAAGTCGACGATTACAACGAAAAAATTAGCAAGGAAAATGCAAAGCTACACCGAACTTATCGAATCAATGCAGCGGATGAGTCTCGTGAAGTAGCGACTTATGGTAGAACACCTCCAAAGAACGTAATTTCCAAAGACGTCAATATCTGTGGTAGTTTTGTGCCATCGATAAAAATTGGCGTTGAATCCCGAGTGATGTTGAGACGCAACATCGCCATATAAGAAGGACTAGTGAATGGAGCTGTGGGTATAATAAAAAAAAACAAATGGCCGGCCTTGAGGAGAGATCAACTGGAGGATGGAGAGCTACCAGAAGCCGTGTACGTTAAATTTGATGACGAATCTATTGGGCTTAGGCTAAAAGATAGTAATGGTTGCATACCTATACCTCCATCTAGTACTACGTTTCAGGCATTAAGAGGTTAAGGAGATGTTGAGAGCCGTATGCTGCCTCTTTATATTAAGCTGGGCGGTTACAGTTCATAAACTACAGGGTACCACCCTCGAACCTGGTTCCCCGGCTATTAGTACCCGGCGAAGGAGTCCGACATGCCACCGACAGGTGGTATCCGAGGGGATTTCCGCACGGAAAAAAAAAAAAAAAGGGTACCACCCTCGAAAGAGCTGTAATCGACATTGGTAAAAAAACTTTGCAAAAGGGCAAATATATGTTGCACTAAGTCGTGTCAAAAGTTTAGAAAGCATAGCTTTATCAGATTTGGACGTCAACAAATTATTAAATAGACCACACGACGATAGATCGTTGACGGAAATAAAGAGACTTCTAAATCTGTCTTCCGATAATGAAGGTCACACATCATCATCATCATCATCAACAGTCTTTAATAGTCCACTGCTGGACATAAGCCTCTCCTTAGAAAGGAGGTCACACATAATACACCTTAAGTAATACAATTAGAATGCTTGCGTCGTATCGCGCTTTGCAATTTGATTACAGATAGTTAGAATTTTCACAGATCGCACCCTACTGTAAGCTACAGACCCTTAATGTAAGTTAAAGAGTTCCATTGATCATTATATTCGACTACGACAATTACTTCCGTTACTGTCCCCGTGGTGAATGATTAAAAATACTGAATGTCACCACCCCCTTTCATCCCATGGGTGTCGTAAAAGTTAACTGAGGAGCAAACTACGCAGGACAACAGCACTGCAAGGAGAAAGAAAACTTGAAACAAACCCTATACCAACGCTTCTGTCCAGCGTGGTATAGTAGGCTAAAACCTCCTTTCTAAGGAGAGGCCTATGTCCAGCAGTGGACTAGTAAAGGCTGTTGATGACGACAATTACTTGACCATAACGACGTTACTGTAGGTAACTCAAATATCCGGAGAGCCTATAGAAGATTCAGCCGAGTCTCGTTAATTTGCTCTGAAGGGTTCCGTTACTAACCAAACTCTCATCAAAGTACCCTTAAAGTACATCAATACCAATAAAAAAAGAATAATCGAAATCGGTTGGCGTGATATTGAGTTATTCGTCTGTAACATACTGACGTAACATACTGAATGCAAATTTAGGACTTATATGGTTTTCTCATGGATTCCATTATCAGAACTGAACCAAATTGGAATATGGACAGATGAAACAAACGGACAGAAGAGCACCAGCTTTTAAATAAAAATAGAATTATCAAAATCGGTTCACCTAGTCAAAAGTTCTGAGGTAACAAACATAAAAAAAAACAGACGAATTGAGAACCTCCTCCTTTTTTTGAAGTCTGTTAAAAAGTAGGTATACCTACATACTTAAGTTTTGGTGTAGTAGGTAATGTAGGTAGGTACTGTCTACTGATTTTCTATAAACTAATTAAAACGAAACATGATGCTGGTTTTTACACTTCATTGTGACCAAAAATTGCCCACAATGAAGTGTAAAAAACAGTTCTTTTATTTTTGTTGGCGAGTTTTAACTGTTTAAAACGATTTATTGGGGTTTAAAACGGCAAGATTTTGTTTAAAACGTTTTAAATCGGTTGCTTTACATCTATAGGTTGGACCTTATAACCAATAAATTAAAACATAAATACATTATGGGCCAGAAATTATTTTGAAATGTCCTTTTTTTTTTAGCAAGTTAAGGCTGAAATAAATATTCGCTAGATAAGACACTACCATCTATTTTATGAGTCTGTATTTTGCAAGATTTTTAAGCTATCATCTCTCCAGAAACGTAGTGTGCCATCTACGTGTAGATCATGATTACACAGAATAATCGAGGCACGTTAAGTGTTAGTAAGTTAGAGTTAGTTCCAGGTCGCAGCTAGATGGAGCTCACTTAAAGTTAACTATACGTAGTAGTCCGTTTAAATAACATAAATCCGGATTTGTCAATTAAATGTCTAATACCCAAAATATGTACAATATTAATTTAACTATTTTTTTTATTTACAGAGTATTTTTAATGTTTGCTTTTAACAAACTCCATAAACGCATCAATTACCTACTTTGACAACAACAATACTGATTGACGTTTATGGCAACATACGTAACATTGACGCTGAATAGGGTACTTTTTGTTACAATTATCCCGAAATGTTTAACGAAATATTTCATTAAACTATGGCTTCCTCAAGGGAGACAGAGGTCCAGGTGTCTCCAGCAACGTCATCATCATCGGTGAAATCCCATTTATTTGAAAGATCTCCGTCCGTTTCATCAACCTCAACAAAAGAAGACAGATGGCCGGAACTCTTGTTAGCCAGGCCTCACAAATTCTCCTACTACAGCTCAAAGAGTAAGACAATTTTCTCTTATTGAAGTAAAGTTTTATAGGATAACTTTATGAATACATATGAATAATAACTCTGATTTCTTACTTCAAAAGTTCTCATAATGTTAAGCTGGTGTAGATTACGTGTTTGTATTTTGGTAAATATATCGCGTGACCGCTAGTGTAGCGGTAATGATAACAATTATTGTTTTGGCTTTAACACATTCAGTTAAACGAATGTGACAGAGAGAATTTTGTGTTCACATTGATTATTATCATCTAATAATTAGCATATGATACCATGTTCAAATTATTTTTATAAAGAAATCTGAGGAATCTAATTATAGTCCTTTCTTAAAAGATGATACATCTCACCTTCATATTTTTTTAATTGCCACCCAATTTTCAATGACAGTTTCTTTTATATTATTATATTTTGTTGCATATCAATTCTTTTATGTCTTTTAATAGTTATCTTGGTTTTTTGCGTTATCTAGTAAAATGCAATTTTCCTGAGATCCTATATCTTTACTCAAATTACAACACTGACTACAAATAAAATATTAGCAAGAATATGACCATATGTGTATGGTCATGATCTTGCTAATATCGGAATGCAGTTTTTGATGTAAATAATCAATTCATGAAATGATTCGAATTTTATTTGTTACTGCTTTAGGATCACACTCACAGAATTGCAAGAATCTAATCTAATACAGTGTTGAATTAGCTTGTTTACATGAAGCTTTGATATTCAATACATTTATCATGGTCCATATTTAGAAACTGTTATTAAAATTGATCTGAATATCAGTTTAATGCAATTTCCATTTACATAACCATAAATACAAAGTAGTTTGAAAATTGCAGTAAAGCATTATTATTCATGCTTTTCTGCCATTTTCAAACTAATTATACAGCCAACGTAGACTACTTTTTCACTGTCTATTCGATCATGTCCCAATGACATGATTGTATGTCGGTTGTCGCAGCTGGGATTTCTGATTTACCCCACATTTAATGACAACAGTGGTACAGCATATTTGCCGTTCCACTGTATGTAGGTCCTTATAATATAGTATAGGTATAAGCAGATATATATAATAGGTATAAGCAGAGTCTATTTAAACTGTAGGCTAAATTTATACTTGTTCAGATCTACTAATTTCAATTTCCTAATCATCTAAGACTTTTTCTTTAACCCAGATAAGCCTACTGTCCCATACGTAGGAAGGTAGAAATAAAAAAATATTTCAACTTACACACATATTAACAGAATATTTTTAATAGATTTGTAGTGACAAGCTAATGTGCTATTGAAATAAAAATTAAAAAGGTGCAGTTATGATATATTATCCATTATATAAATATTTCATTGAAAAGTTGGAAATTGGACAGCAGGCTTATCTGGGTTAACATTTAATCAATCAGTGTGAAGTTAATTCACGAATATGAGCTGCGGCATACCGGTTGATGTTGGGAAGTATATGCTAATCAGAGTGACAATTATTCATACCATGATACAGAATTATCATTTACTCTTTAATTCAGTCTATCTTCTTTAGATGGCACTGAAGTAAGTTTTTTTTTTATTAAATGTGGAAGTCGCCGTGTTTATTTTCACCTGTTGATATTCCCAGTTTTTTTTATGCAATGAGCAGACGGGTCCATCTAATGGTAAGTGACCATGACCGGCGCTCATGGACACTATTGATTGCTAATGCTTTTACGAATATTAAGAAACATGTGAATATGAATGCGGATATACGCTACATCACTAGTGCACTCAGACAGTTGCTTAATAATAGTATTTTTTTTGGGTTTTAAATTGCAAGTTGGTCACTTATAACTGATTTATGACATTTAATATAAATATATGTACAGGGTGTGGCGTAAATAGTGGTACAAAAATTGGTTTTACTCTACTTTTAACCCAAATTTTTAACATATCATGCTAATTCAAGACCGATTTTTTGTAAAAAAATCGTATGCATTAAATGAATGGGCACTGACAGCTTAGTACATTTTTTTTACAAAAATCGGTCTTGAATTAGCATGATATGTTAAAAATTTGGGTTAAAAGTAGAGTAAAACCAATTTTTTTCTTCAAAAGCTTTAAATTTACATTAAAAACATGTTATTTAACGATAGCTCTAGTATTCAGCAGTAATTACCAGTAATCAAAATGAAAAAATAATGGTATTTGTTAAAACTACAACCAAATTTGTAACAAGAGGTACACATATCGTAAAAAAAATTAAAAAAATTATATTTCCGGAACCTTTGGGTAAAAATGAATAAAATTGTAATATGTTATAGTAAATTATCTGATTTATCGAATGGTGGACCACTATTTACGCCACACCCTGTATATATGAAATGCTTTTAAACAATGGGGAGCGTCTGGTACTCTTGCGACAGGTCTTATCCTAGATGCGGATTAGAATTTTCGAAGAGGTTAATTATGCCAAGGTCATCGTTTCTTCTAGACGTGGAAATTTTCTTCTATAAGTTGAGTATGAGTTATTGGAACGAAGTTCCTTATCGCGCGTTGTGAAAAGGGGCTAGACGGAAAAAATTCTTACGAAAATTGGTCACGACACTTTTTGCTATAGTAAGCTATTGTAAGCTGTGCGGCGTCGCATGTTTCTCTGTCTGTCTCTCTCTCTCTTATAGAAAGCAAGCCGGATATTTTCATTTCTATTTCGTATTGAACAGTGTGGTGTCGCGACGATTATTTTTTTTGAGTGTATACAGGTTTTTTGTAAATAATAAATAATAAAAAATATTATTATAACTTAAAAAAAAAAAAAATTACAATTCCTTCACTAATTAATCGAAAGGAACTTCGTTCCATCCGGGTGTCCCTTGACACCTCTCAAGTTTTTTATCTTACTAGCTTTTGCCCGCCGCTCCGCCCGCGTGTATGTCGGTTATTGCTGTAAAAAGTAGCCTATGTTACTTCGCTCATAATGTAACTTTCCATTGATCAAAGAATTTTTAAAGCGTTTTAGTGGTTTAGGCGTGAAAGTAACAAACAAAAAAACTCCCTTTCTCATGTATAATGTAAGCATGGAACGTTTTTATGATAGGACACCCAAGATTCGACGTTGTTACTTGTATTGCTCGTCCGAGCAGAGCAGACACGTGTAGAGTGGTCCTAAAAAGATTTTACCCAGTTCCTACGGACGCGAGTAAACCCCTTTCCTTCAATCTCAAAATAACGCAGAAAATTAAAAAATACCAAGGTTACAATGATAAAATTCACCTATTTATTATTTTAAAAAGACAACTCCCACATTAGAAATCCTGTGTCGCGGGGGACTACAGACATACATGAAACGGATACCAAAGCACAGATAGCAAAGAACACCCAGACTCAGAACAACAATTTGTGGATCACACAAAATGGTGTCTCATGTAGGGATTGAACCCGCAAGCGGCGTGGCGACCGCTTAAACCACTACGCCATCCGTGAGTCTTCCTAGACCCTTCCTGGTCCAATAATCCTTACTAGACCCCTCATCTAAATATATAAAATGTCAATTCGCTTTTTTAACTATTTTCACGTTAGTTTTTTCGTCATTTCTCATTAATGCAACCATAATGTGCCACAGTGAATGTGGCAGGATACAGCTATCTTTATCCATACTACCATACTTATATTATAAATGTGAAAGTGAGTTTTGTTATGTTTGTTTGTTAAGCCTTTTTATTGTTGTTTTCATGACCTTGTACCAATTGCTCCTTATAATTTCATCCATTGTAAATTTAGAACATACATTTTTCTATACGCACTTGTCAATTATCTGCGTGATCGTGTGCCTTGCTTACGTTTCCTCTTTCATTTCTACGAGTTAATTTAAAAAAATCGTTTTAAGGCAAACGTGAGAACATCTTTATTATCTGGCATTCTCGTAACATTCGAAAAGGCTTCTATTTTGAAAAAATCTGTTTTGAAATCATACATCATCATTATAATAAAGTTGTTCTACAAAAGATGAAACCTTGTAGAGATGACGTCTTTAATCTTTTATTCAACAGCATGTTTATAAACCAACATGGGTTGGATTGTGACGATTTGAGATTCATGTTAATATTCATCATTTAATTTTAAAGGAATCTGTCAAAACAAATAAGCCTCTGTTACTAAGGCATAACATAGCGCATTATTGATTAAAGAGTTTTTTTTAAATTCTGCATTAAGTAATAATTCCAACGACGACTCCCTGCACCTAAACCAATAAACGCGAAAATTGTCTTTTATAGGATTTCTTTAAAAAACACAATGAGAATTGTTCATAGTAATTGCTTTAATACTATTCTCGAGGTAACCTTTCCTGCTAACTAATAAGTGTACTGTGAAAGGAGATTGGTTCCATGCTCAACCTAATGGGGCATGTATGGGGTAGCGTTAGTTTTGAGAGCAATGAGAATAGCAAAATAAACATGTTTTTTTTTTATTTATGATAGAAAACGTAGTTGTGTCTAGTTTTGCAGTGTTCTGTAATACTTTAAAACCAGTATGACATTATTCAGAACGGCCGCAGGCAGTGTATAACCAGGCCTAACACAAATACCATATTTAGCGGAACACTGGGTGGTTTTAGTGCTACGTTATAGCAATTCGTGATACATTGTGTTTTTAAAAGAATTAAAGTATATCAACAATCAATGTCAATTAATTGCTTTTTCTGCAAAAATTCAAAATTAGAAAATGTTCATCACAAGATTATAAGTCAAACTGTTCTAAACTACATCTCTCTACAGTCATAGGTTTTACCTACTCTGTGAATGAACTGTCATCATAGTTGTTTTGTAACCTTTTTCGACAGATGGCGTAACATGCTTCAAGTATTGATTTTTACGCTGTCGTAGGTCGCAAGCAGCACTTGCCGGGCAATCAATATTTAGTCTCAACCTGAAAATACCATATTTGCGCACTATCTTTCAACACTGCAATTAAAGCAAGTAGCCTTCTGGTTGAAATACGGAATTACCACCATATAGGTCGTGACAAACAGTGACTAATAAATACCATAAACTGTGCCTTCCAAATTGTACATCGTGTGAAATGAATACAAGGGGGTGATCAAAATTCACGTGATTGTGTTGACTGTTTCGCTTGATAGTTTATTTGCTGCTTTATTATGCGTTCTCTTGCCGCCATTCATGGGGTAGATCCCTTACCCGAATTAGGCATTCCGTCTGCCATACAACATCAAGGTGACGGCAATCCAGACGCTGACATGGCCGGCGCACAGGATACCATCTACCTGTGTAATTTCCGTGTCTCCGTCGATGGAGAGTGGCTTTGTTTAAAGGAACTGCATGATATGGAAATGCAAGATTCTTTCCATCGTCCACCTGGGCAAGGCGTCATTACTTCGCCAGACGATCCAATGAATTCATTGATGGGTAATTCTGTACACTGAAATGATGTTTAGATGGGTAGAGTGCGTTTTTTAACAATAGTTTTCATGTCCATTTTTTGTAGCTCGGGATCCCGTGGTAATAGAACGAAGTAACCTCGTCAACATCTCAAAATTAATCGTAAAGGAGCTGATTGAACAATCGCTACGTTATGGCAGAATGCTCGACAGTGACCACTTGCCCTTGCATCACTTCTTTATTGTTCTCGAGCATGTTATGCGCCACGGCCTTAAACCCAAAAAGGTACTATTATAATCTACTTAACCAGTTTTTTTTTATATGCATGATTAATTATTTAGTGTAAACACATAAGCAAATAAATAAATAAATGTCCAAGGTATAATAATAATTACAAACTTTCTCTTTTTTTGTTTTATGAAAAAGAGGGTAAACGAGCAGACGGGTCACCCGATGGAAAGTGACTATCCCCGCCCATTAATGCCTGTAAATCAGGAGTAACAAGCGCGTGGTTTTATATTTTTACGATGAAGACATTAACCTCATAAAAACTAGTCATGATTTTTTTTTGTATTATTAACAGTTCCATAAAAAAAGATGTAATAATCTCGTAATTGCTCTAATATTATCAAAGAATTCAATTCATACATAGACTTTTCAGGGATTATTGGGTCCTAAGAAAGAGCTGTGGGACATTTTGCAAATGGTTGAAAAATATTCACCAGAGGCTGCTGATATCACAGCAAGTGTCAGAGATCTTCCAACGGTCAAGTGAGTAAAAATCATATTTGTGTGTTTAATTTCAATTTTTCAAGTATTTATTTATGTAAATAAACGACGAGTCATTTATAGGCTTTTTCCTTAATTTGACCAGCTAAAAAGTAAAATTCACATTTACACTTACATAGCAAAGTCACGAGATTAAATTTTGTAGTCGTTTACGCGTTATTTTAGTTATTTTGGCACTTAATTTTATTTCTGCCATTAAAAATAAAAAGTAAATAACTCATCTAAGAGCTTTGAAAAACCATATAAACTTTGTAGGACTGCCATGGGACGAGCACGAGCCTGGTTAAGACTAGCTTTAATGCAAAAGCGTCTTGCCGACTATCTACGAATCCTTCTAGAACACCGCGAGGATACCTTGGAAGAATATTTTGAACCACACGCTCTGATGCTTAATGAGGAAGCCGTCATCATTACCGGCGTGCTCGTTGGACTTAACGTTGTTGATTGTAACTTGTGTGTTAAGGTATGTACCAGATTTTTTAGTTTGATTTAGTGTAGGTACTTAAAGAGTATAGTAAATTACTAAAGATATTTGTTAGTGCTCGGACTTCCTAAGAACAAACACGTATGGAACGAAAGGTATTAGTTTCGTGAGTTCGTTTTCGTTAGTGTCCGTATGTGAGATGGACCAAATTATTGTTCCCAAAATATGGGTATTTAATATGCCTCTGCCTACCTCTTCGTAGATGTAAGCATGAATGTATTATATATGTATGTTATATATATTATAATATGTATAACATACATATTAAAAATAATAAAGCATTTATGTTACGTAATTTTTACTCTTTTGTCTATAATATTTAAAGACTGTACAGTAAAACAGTAATAGTAGTTAGTACTAAGACTGATTACAAATATTTTTCACTTTGTACTCAGGAAGAAGATCTTGACAGTCAACAAGGTGTGATAGACTTCTCTCTTTACTTACGAGGCAGCAACTCTTCCAACGACTTAACTGGTAATGGCAATAGCGGCGACGCTGAACCTAAGCAACGCCACATCAACACAATGCTCGACCAAAAGAATTACATTGAGGAGCTAAACCGTCATCTCAAGTAAATTTCCAATTCATTGTTCTTATGCTCACACGCTAATTTAGCTCTGTAGTATAATGTTAGCTAACAAAGAAATTGTTTTCTATTTAGTGTTTTTTCCATTGAAAATGATGTTCGTAAATGAATTTAACGCTGATTAAAACTTTAGGTTATTCACGGTTCATTAGTTTTTATCAAATATGCTTAATAGTATGAAACCTGAAACTCGATTATGATTATACATATAACTATTGTTGCAAGGCTTTATTTTTAACTTCGAACAAAAGTTGGCTTTCAATTTTGATTGCAGTTATTCTATGTGTATGTTGCACAATAGGTAGAAAATTTTAAAGGTGAAGTCACCATTGAAGTCGGTTTTACCTTTTTAAGTGGTTGCTACTGTAGACACGGTCAGTTCCGTCGTGTAAAGGAGAAGGGACCTCATTTCGTCAATTCATTACCAGAAAATCCCAAGAACATTTATGTAAACGTATTTAATATTTACGATCATTTATTTATAATGTATTGAATATCCTTAAGAAATGGTGGTCTAATTATTTTATACGATACCTGCGGTTTGAAACGGATTCTTAACGCGTACACTAAAGTTCATCATACATCACAAAACAAAATGGGGTCTCGATTTTATGTTTTGTGAGTGTATTGAAAAAAAACAATGTTCTTGAACGCTGACTTTCAACGCTATGATGTTATGATGATGACCTTTCGATGTTAATGAGGAATAATGACTTAGGTGGTCTTCATCAACCATACCTCCCTAACTTTGCTTTATGAGGACGATTTCAAACCCACTGCAATAGTGAATGGTGGTTTTGATTTACTATAAAAGTTGTTATGAGGTATCATAACTAAATTATAACTGAAACTATTCATACGCGATAGTAGTCACGACCTCAAACGTGAGAGCCGAACTCCCTGTGTAAATGGAAATAATACTCTAAGTTTACTCACATAAATTCATTCAGTATAAAACAATTTAACGGTTCGATGACCTGTAAATACAACGTTTTGAGTAAAGCAAACGAATATGACCAATTAAATAAAGTGGGTGTAAAGTAGCAACCATGTTAAATTAAATGTTAGTTACTATAATATTTTGTAGTAATTGCATAATGCAAATACATTATATGTAAACAAAGCTGAATATAGGATAGAAATTAGAAAAGTGTTGTATTGAGAACAGAATGCATTGCTAATGTTCACTATCAATTTAAAAATAGATATTTAAGGGGATAGATATTACAGACGGGGGGATCGTCCACGTGGTCAAACTGGGTAGTCAAAATAATTTGTCCGACAGGAATCATATTTCATTAATCATTCAATCACAAAAACATTACATGATAAATTATGTATAACACGGCATTTTTACGAAATTCATGTACGAAAATTACAGTTAAACTTATAATTATTTATAATCAAGAAAAAATAGAAAACATGAGTCTTACAGAGATAATAATTTAGACAATGACGTCATGCAATAAATTAACATAATATCCTTTGTTTTAGTGCGACTGTAGCGAATCTCCAAGCCAAAGTTGAGAGCCTGACAACGACCAATGCACTCATGAAAGAAGATATGGCCATCGCCAAAAACACAATGATTACATTGGTTGAAGAAAACAATCAACTTAAACATGCTTTGGGTAAGTTCTTTTTTTTTAATTCTGATCAATTATCTTATTGTGTATCAAATATGTGTAGTTAAATTTCAAAAAATCTACAATAATTTCTATATCAATTTGGATAACTACTACTCTCACTCTGCTACATCGTCCTAAGGTAGACTGGCAGAGAATGTTTTTAACTTTCTCGTCGCGACGCGATTAAAAGAACTTTGTAACAAGTCTTTAATTTTAACTATACCTACTTAATTCACAGATTTGCAAAGTTGATACAGTTTTATAATTTATATATTTTTAAAATTCAATTAAATCATTGTTTACCTACCAGCATGTTAGATTTTTATTTACTTTGAATTCAAAAATAAATGATCTTTGATAACATAATAAATGTTATCAAAAATCATTTATTTTGAATCCTCGTTTAAAGCTAGATGATAAATAAATACATTAATTATCTAAGAATGAAATTCACAAAAATACTTCTTCAAATTATAGAAAAAATCTAGTTACTTGTTATCTGTTAGATCATTGTTTGCTAATAATATAATTTAAAGTAAATTTGTCAATCGATTTAAACGTAATGAGCATGAGCAATTTAACGAGCGTGTTTGAAAAGGGAAACCTCTCATGGTCGTTGTTGTTTACTATAGAAATCACATTGTGAATAATAACAGAAACTCCAGCAGATAAGACACCTTCCAGCGATGAGTCACTGTCTATTGTAACGTTGCTTAGTAGGCATTAGTATGCCGTGCTTGTCGTTCGTGTCATTATATACTCAGTTATTATTTAACTACGGCCTCACTACCGTTATGCGCTATACGTCTATTAAATGGGCAATTCAACGACGAAAAATCAGCAACCTAAACACACATTTTGGATCAAATCCTGTGAGTTATTTATAGTGGGTGTAAATGTACCGCGCGTCTTTCTGTCTAGTTTAAGTTTTGTATCAACTTTTTTTTTGTGCAGGTCAAGATATAACTAAAGATACAAGGATGAAAGTCACGGAATTGCAATCTGATGAAGAGGTAAGATAAGATATAAACAGTTTTTATTATCCTGTTTACTTTATTATGGTGTGTTGTTATTCAATTTTCTTTATTTCTGCTACTTAAGTGATATCTATAATCAATGTTATGAGAAACGACTTAATAAATGTGTATATTTTTTTATAATAAGTAACCGATTATTTTTACAATGTGACATACACATTGGCCAAAAATCACGTGTTATTAAATTTACAAATACCTTGTAGTTGTAGTATCTGTATTGCAAAACATTAAACTACACATACATACTCGTAGAAGTTTTCAATGATGGCAACTGTTTATTCAATATATTTGCTAGATAAGTTTTCCTTATGTATGTAGGCATAATTAAGTGTTTATACAAACTATATCTATTCTCAGACACTTCTGCACACAATGTCTTATTAATTCAGAATACTCGTTTTTTTATTAAAATGTAATTTTATCCAATGATGGGTAAAACACTCATAGATTCCAAGATTATTGATTATATCAGCGATATAGGTGGCTCAATTAAATCTATGTCTTACGAAAGATAATGAAACAAGAATTATTTCCCAACACGCGAATGATAGTGACATTTCCCCACACTCTCTTACTGCGATATATTGCGCGGAGAATATAAATAACACGTCTCCTATAGAAATAGAGAAACGCATGTGTCATTTTAAAAATAGTACATTTTAGGTGGCAACTGTTTATTTTCAGGAGAAACGTAGTGTGAAGAGCATTACATCTGATAAGTCTAAAAATGATAGTGAATCCAGCAAAATGTTGGAAGAAGAAAGAAAGAAATATTTAGAGCTTCAGAAGGAGCTAGACTTGCAGGTAAAGTTTTTATATAAACTTTATATATTGTATGACTTAGGTATTGTTGTTTTAGGTCCGTCTGCGACCCTCATGGAGTTCGGTATCGGTGTGGCCATATATTTGTACCCCAAGCTATATTTGGGCGGTTATAAATAATGTTTAATATAACTTGTATTCAGGTTCGCGAAAGACAATAGAATAATGGTGCATTATTATGAAAGTTTAGAAATGCTTTGAGGTATCTACGTTTGTCACTCCATCTAAAGTTTACATACCATGCTTGTCAGACACTTTAAAAAAAGCACCCCTAATCCTATGGCTTTCGTTAAGTCAGTTACATTTTTCAGTTATTTATTACTAGCTTTTTGACCTCCACTTTACCTGTTTAATACTTACTACAGTTAAGAGCATCTTATATATACCTATCTTAATCCAAGTTATAAACTATATATATCAAAATTAACAAAGGAGTAACAAACATCTATCTATCTTTATATACATTCGCGCTATTGCTTAACTGTAGTAATCGATGCCACTTCTCCATCACGGGCTTAACAAATCCTCGGATATGCAATATTTTAAATAAAAAATGATTAACCATGAAATATCAGGGCCGACGAATAGATAACGACTACTGTTGGATTACAATGCTTTACGCCATTACGCAACTAAAGAGCAGACAAATTGACCTATTAAATAACTCTTTTATATTCAACAACTTTTTTAGCATTTAAGGTCAAGTACACTGTAGTCTCTCTAATGATGCGCATTTAAATATGTCTACTTCAGATTTCACTGAAAGCGGAAATGGAGGTCGCTATGAAATTATTAGAGAAAGACATTCACGACAAACAAGATACTATTATATCGCTAAGGAGGCAACTCGACGATATAAAACTTATCAACTTAGAGATGTACAAAAAATTACAGGTGAGTGTTTATTAAAAAGAAATATAGATAAATAAAAGCATGTCCTTCTTCATCCGTTAGGATTTTGTACCCTTAACTCTATCACCAGCGATTGATTTACCAATCACTAAAGCTTGTTTCGTCAACCGTTGTACAAAGTTTGTTTTATTTATTTTTACTTCATGGTCTGCCTAGGATTAGCAAAGTTCACTCTCCACTTTCGATTTTCGAACATGTCTTAATTACCCCAGAGCTACATTGTAAATAATGGCTCCAAATCTTAATGACTGTGGTCATGGATTTGATGATAGCTGTGTCGAAAATACTTCATGGTCTGTTAAAGATGTGTAAAATTCACTTTCTCTTTCGACTCATAAACATATGTTAATCTCACCAGAGTTATATTGGTAGAGATTAGGAGATTAAACTATGCCGATAGTGGTAACAAATAGCTCTTACAATAGCCGGCCAATTAATAATGTTAAAAATATTAACGAGCTCAAGGCCTGTTTAAAAAACACCAATTCCCTTCAATATTTTTAACATTGTAATGTAACAAGTTGTTTTTGTGGCTTTTCAAGGAGATGTAACAAAGGCGCGGGTCGTCGCCTTTGTTACATCTCCTTGAAAAGCCACAAGGTCTTTAGAGAGCGTGGGCTCAATAACACCCGCCCATGCACATTTCTTATCCCGCCAATTTGATTAATAGATATTATGCCTATTCATCTTACATCACCGTACCTTTATATTATGTTTATTATTCTCAGTTGAATACTAACCTGTTCATAATATTGCTTCCAACTAATTTAATATGTATTATGTTTAAATTTTACAACATTTATTTGATATTAATGTCTTTTATAATTATTATTCTCATGTACTATACATGCTAATTCGTTTTATTATATATATAATATATGTATACGACCCATACTAATATCATGCTGTATTCACTATGCCGCGTTTGTCGTACGGAAGGAATGCGAGATGGAACTGACGCAGAAAGGCGAAATGGTGTCGAGGCTCCAGGGGAAGGCCGAGCAAATTGGCAAAATACTTCAAAACCTTGAGAAATATAATCACTTCCTAGGACCCGATAATGATTTAGTCAAAGCTCTCAGATCCCCCACTACCACAGAGAGTAACCTAGGAGAAAAGCTAGAGAAACTTAAAGCACAAAGCGCTGCGCTAAAGGGTACAAAGTCTAAGGACGAAGGTCCTCCGAACAAAAAATTAAACCTTCAGGAAATACCACCGTTTCGTAAAAGTAGTAATAATAATAAGACAAAAGCTCCTGTTCGAGAGTAGATTTTATAGTTCTTTCACTCTTGTAAATAATGTTGTTTCAATTTAGAAAATTTCGGGAGGTGTTTCCTGTTTACTAAACAAAATAACATTGTATTATTACTAACACATTATAAAGTTACCGCTGAGAATATTTTCGATAAAATTATTCAAGTTTAATAGAAATACGCATCTATCTAATGATTAACACTGCGCTCTATTAACCCATACAATTGAATAATAAACTAACCACGCATCAATTCTGTGTAAATTTATCAGCTCACTACTAACAAAATTATCTTACTTCCGCTCGAATGAGTTGACTTTTATTCATCTAAACTGTATTGGCCTTGTTGTTTTAGGAATGTGAAAGTTCCTTGAAACATAAAACAGAGCTAATAGCCAAATTGGAAGCAAAGACTGAATCGATGGGCAGCACGATACATCAACTCGATGAGAAGTAGGTTTAACAAATTTTTACTTTGACTGCGCGCATCGAGCGGGCCTCGGCCTGAGCTCACCCGCAACCATCGAAAGAGTGCCTGGATCATGTATAACGCTGTTCAATGTAAACTAAGCGCTTCACATATCAATGTTCCGAACCGCACCTAGGTGTGAGCAGTGCACAGCTTGCGTGCCCCGACTGTTGCTCTTTCCTTTCGCTCGATATTGGCAAACCCCCACAATGAACTTAGGCGACGCAACGCGTAAATCAGTATTTTGATATTATATTAAAAGTGATCCTATGATAACGATCATATTGTTAATCGTAACGCTGATGTTGCTTTGGCTTACTTGCTGTGATTAAAAGAATTTCGAATGTATTATTTTTTTATTCCATATTAAGTTGTTTTAGGTTTGTTTTGGTTCTGTTAAAGATGTTTACGGTCTGATAGTAACTACAGAACTAAACATTATATATTATTAAGAGTACTATGTGTTGGTAATGTGTTAATTAATTTAATTATAACAAAGTAGTTTATAAATAATATTTTTAATGTAACAGAAACTAATTGAAGTACCTGTATGAGGATTTGTTAGTGTTTATGAAAAGATTGAAGTATTTTGTATACTTTTTCAATTATTGTCAAAGTTGTACGATCAGATTTTTGATTTTTATTTTTAACTGATATCTGATCTCATTCGGGTAGCTACTTGTGCTTTGAAAACTGAAAATTTATTATTGTATACAATTTTTGTGCTCGTTATTATGTAGCAAATGTTATAACAAATAATTTAGATATTTCCTTTTACATAGTTTTGTAATCCAAAGGCAGTAGTTGTGTAAAAGCCTTATTTATAATAAATCATATTCTGTCGCATACCGTATTTTATTGATATCAACAACCAACAATTTGCTTGTTTTAATTTTCTGTTAATTGTGTAGGTTTGCCATTATCAGTCTCATTCCTATGTTTGCATGCTTTGTGCGTCTAAACAATACAAATGTTGTGTACATACTAACAAACTAAAAGTCTCTTCTTTCATTTACTTGAAAAACTTACAATGATGAAATTGTATGAATTCAACAAAATGTTCGAATCTTGTAGTAATCTAATTATGTGACTTATTTTCTTTTGCACTCTTATTATTTCTTCATTTATTGTAAAATAATAATATATTTATCTTAACCACCAATTTGAAGCCTTTAAATAGTAAGAGGCTATTGTTACCTAAAAAGATAAGTATTTAAATTTAGTTATTAATAAAATTAGCTGAGGAGATGTTGGATACCGTCGGCACTATTTAATCCATGTGAATGCTACAAATCATCAAGTCTAATCTAAACTTATCATACTTATCAACTCGTGTGTTTTATTCAAGAATAGCTTATTCTCTCGTTCAAAACAAAGTTGTACATAATAATTACCCATTTGCACACTTAACATTACATGTTACAGTGTTCTCAAAATAATTCAAAACTCACAACTAATTGACTTATAGAAAAAATAGTCTTATATCTATTGACTCAAACTATTATCAATAACATCAGTATTGCTCATAGTACACTTAACATTACATGCAAAAATATTTACATAAATAAAACAAATAATTGAGACTGCTATAACAATTTAACACCTCCAAGTACAATTGTATTGTTTGCCTAAACTTTTTTTTAGTAAAGTAGCGATAGGTTTCTATTTATAAATCACGTCATAGAACACATAAAAACCGCAAAATTACAACATTTTACCCATGTGATATCTTTTTAATTTTTAAATCATACCTACCGATACATAACGGCTTATCGGCACCAAAACAAGGTATTACGCAACTGTACAATCATATTAACGAAATTTCCCGAAATTACTGTGTTATAAAATAAATTTGAACAATCGTTTAAATTCACTTGAAAATTGATAACACGATACTTTAGAAAGGTATGCATAAACTTGTTCTGTTTACTCCACTACAGATATACAAAATTAACAACTTTCCTTTACTACGCTGTATATGTGTTGATTGTTTTAAAGCATTTAGACAACAACACTTATTTACTGCATTATACAATTAGTATCAGCAATACTTAGGTACTTACGTAACGTCTTATTGACAATAAAAGTATATGCGACAGATAAACAAAATTATTAGAAAAAACATTACCTACTAATATCTTGAAAAATAGGTCTATGTGTCCCACAATCTCCACTTTCTACGTTTCTGTTTATAAACAAAGCGGTTTAAAGAAATACTACCTATTTAATGTTACCTTCATTTTAAAGGAGCTCATGCTCATGATAACAGTTTCATGAAGTAGTTTTCAGTGCATGTAGACCCTTAAAGTAACAGTGCTGACGGTAATATGTTACCAACTATTCTCCTCTTAAACCCTCTTAAACTGCGAAAAATAATATTTCATTATTAATAAAATCGGGAGTTAGTCGTGAACCTAGTTGCCAGGTTCAATACGCAAAGGACATCCGCTTAAAAGTCATGCGAAATCTTCAAAACGTTGCTACTGACTATATATTTTTAAAGACTTGGTGTTTTTAAATATGATATTTACACTGAATAGATTACAAGGAGACAAGTTAGCCAGAAAGAGTTTGGAAGACAGCGCAAGATCCTTGGGTCAGAAAGCGGCCAACGCAGAATCGAAGGCCATAGCTGCTGAAGGGGACCTTAGGATAGAGAGGGAATGGAGGATATCTTTACAAGTAAGTATGTTCTATAGAACTATGGTTCCCGTATGGATGGTATGGTATAGGCGCAATTTAAACATCGACCGATATAAGAAAGAAATAAATCGCATATGGCAATAGCATTAAAATACAACCTACTGTAAGCGTCCTCTGCGGTTTGTTTATTTATAAAACTGACTGTGTTTAAAGTTACAGTCAGTTCATACATAATGAACTGACTGTAACTGTTTTAAAGAGTAGATTAATTTATTGTGATCGATTCTGTGATCTTCGAGGCATTTTATATTTATTAAAAAAAAATGCCATAGAGAAACTGCGTTGCAAGTTTTTTTTTTTTACATGGGGATTATGTTTGTTCGTGGAACTCTGCCGTCTCCTTCTGTGAGCAAGTTATGCTTGCAAAAGAGATGGCGGAGCGGGACCGGGAGAGGTTTAGAAATCTCCCGGCCCGCCAGGCTCGGGAACGGACCAGGTACCGCAGACGACTGAGGCGCCGGAGGTCGCTGACCGACCTCCGTCCTCCATAAGCGCAGGCCTGGGGGTGACAGGTGAGGCCATCTGTCACCCAGCAGAAGCAGGCCGGGGTGGTGGCGAGCGCGTTGCGAGGCGCGCGCGCCATTCCGGGAGCACAAAGGAGACATAGGGGTTCCCACACAGGTGGGGGTCATTTACACGCTGTAGATGGCCCGAGGTTCGTCGGGGTATCAGGGATTTCCTACCTAAGGTACACCTGGTTCCCCGGCAACTGGTACCCGAGACGGCGTGCGGTTTTTGATCGGTTCGAGTCCGACATAACCACCGGTGGGGCCACCCACCCACTTTTTTCCTTAAGGAAAAAAAATCTTATAACTTCGCAAAAATCCCAATTCATAGTTTAGCTAGAAATGTACAAATGACAGTAAACACATTAATAATGTGTAATTCATTAATACCAATAATTTACAAACTAGCTAATTATGGTAAAACATTTTTAATCATAAATAATTAATTAAGCAGTATTAGATGTGCTTTTCTTAGTATAACATACCTCATTAATCTATTAAAAGAATTTTACCGTACTGAATGGCAGTATTACCATATCAACTTAAAACGTAAACGTTTATTTACCCAAAAAATACTTATCTGAAAGATTTTATGTTTCGAGTAAAAATAATTACAAAACCTCAAAAAAGGAGAGACTTGCATGCTTTCCTATTTTTTATCCAACATGTTGACAGACATACAGTAACGACGTCTCTGTTGTATAGATGAAAAATAGAAATTATGTCATCTTGTTGGTGGGTGTTCCCAACCCTAATCATTTTTTCTGCATTTACCTCTAGAAACTCAATTTATTTCAGGAATCTATGATGCGAGATCGTGATAAGATATCGTTGTTGACTCAAGAAGTGGAGTCTCTCAAATCAATCGGTCAGGTAAGCAATCAATTACTCACTACAAAAACAAATTGATAAATATGAACGGTTTGTTTATAAGGTAACTAGCTTTTGCCCGCGGCTCCGCCCGCGTGTATGTCACGGTTATCACGGTGAAAAGTAGCCTCTGTTACTCTTTAATAATGTAATTTTCCATCGGTGAAATAATTTGAAAAATCGATGTAGTGGTTTACGCGTAAAAGCGTAACAAACAAACAAACTCACTTTCACATTTATAATATAATTATGGATCATATTATCTCTTTACAGTGAGTCTATGATTGTTTGTATATACGGATACCATATTAGTCCAGTGTTTTTTACATCTTACAGTGGCCTGGAACAGATTCACACTGTGGTAACTCTTTAAAATGATTTTGGCCTAGAATATAGAGGCATATTATTATTAGTAACCACACTATTTTTTATAACGGGAAAAAACATAGTCACGTACTGTATGCCTCGTTTCTTACTGTTTATTTAAACTTAAATTGTTCGTGATGTGTTTTTTTTGTACAAGACATTTTTTATACTTATCTCCCTCATTCATAAACAAGCTTTTTAATAATTAAAATAGTTAAAGTAAAAGAAAAGTGATAAAAAACCCTCAATGTGCCAAAGGTGTCAAAAAATAACATTTATTTACTTGAAACAGATAAGTCGACTTTTGCAAGATTTGTAATCGTATCCAGACCAGACAGAGGTTTATGTAATAACCTCTAATTTTAATTTTCTCAGAAAAAAAAACACAGGCAACTTATTTCCTTATCTGTTATAGAAATACCTCGCCCTGCAAGAAGAACAACATATTTTAAAAACACAATACCACGAAGCTCAAAAGACTTTAGAAGAAGTAGGTGCAACATTGAGCGAGAACAAACTACAGTTAGCTGAACTTTTAGAAAAGGAAGCCAAAACACAAAACGTCGAAGAAGCCCCTACCTGGATGCATGATAAGGACGCGACAGCATGTACAGCGTGTGCCAAAGAATTCTCAATAGCTAGGCGGAAAGTGAGTATCAAGCTATTATCTTTTTATAAAAACAGACAAATAAAAACATACGCAATTAATCAGTAGTACCAGTCGCCTAAAGTATGTATTTCACGTCATCTAGTCGCAACAATATCTTTTTACGGTCACGGATATAGATGTAAAACTAATTAAAACCAAAGGCCGGTTTAAAACCAATTAAACCAATCTGTTTAAAACGAAAAAAAACGTTTAAAAGTAAATAAAACGGTTGGTGTTGATGCCTATGGTTTTATTAATTATAACTACATTTTCTTGATTTTACCGAGGTAGGGATATGACGGAGTACCTATAAACTATGTAAAGGTTTTTTAAATGTGTGATATACTGATATTGATATACTTAGCAGGTTTAGTTCTAGTTGGCCTAAGTTAGATAACTTAAAAACTGTTTTAGTAAATAAAGAGATATCACACTCTCGCACTCGCGCGACGGCCTTGAAGACATAGCATTGTGTTAATGATGTCTTCTAGTGTGTGTAATAATAAATTAATAATATAATAAATAAATAATATAATAAATTAATATAGGTAGGGATACCTACATACTTAAGTTTTCGTGTAGTAGGTAATGTAAGTAATTACTTTCTATTGATTTTCTATAAACAATAAAATGTAAAACAGTATTTTTTATTTTTGTAGACGAGTTTTCAACCGTTTAAAACGGCAACATTTTATTTAAAACGTCTTAAATCGGTTGTTTTACATCTATTGTCACGGTTTTGAATCCTAACCAGTATCAGTATCCTTTTAACATGGAGACTAATTAATATATTTTCATATTGTTAGTATTCTTAATATCAAAACAAAAAGCTGTTATGTTTTATTATTAAAAAGTTTAGGTTTAGTTAATAGCTAAATTTACATTTACATTAAAACAATATATAAGGAAAATGGTTGACGAATATAGGAAAAATATACAAAACGGTTTTTGTTATGTGTGGGTATTTAAACAAAATCAATAGCAATTTTTTTTGTAAATTACGAATAATACCATAAATCGGGTCAAAAAACGGCAATCGGTAAAAAGACTGAACTTCAGTTACAGCCTCACTCAAACTCACTTATTCCATAATTTCCAGCACCATTGTCGACGTTGCGGCCATATATTCTGTGCGGCGTGTAGCGAGAAGACGGCGGCGCTGGCCGGCAACACCAAGCCCGTGCGGGTTTGCGACTCGTGCTACATTGAACTGACACTCGCATAGTTAATTATACCTATATTCAATGATTTATTCAAATCGATTTACTATTACATTTTACAGTTTCATAGAAAGGATTATGACTGTTTCAGATTGTATACGTGTAAATGTTTTTTTAATAATTAATCTAGTACTTGCAGTTTCTAGTATCCTGCAAGTGAAGCCAAATTTTACTTTAACTTCGCTTACGTACGTATAATTACATAAACAAAATTGCATAAGCTGTCTAATGTTTTGATTTAACTATAACATATAATCGGAGTATGCTGTTACATCATTATACCGGTGCTTTTTTTTCTGATATTAGTATTATCCTTTCTTCTCTTTATTAAATTAAAGGCCTAAAAATAAACAGATCGATTTGAATTAATGATAGAAAATCGACAATCATGATATTAAATAAATGTATGGAATATTTACAAAAATTGTTAAGTGTCAGTGTTAGTCCAGTGCATAATATAAATAATATAATAGTATATTTAATAATAATAAAAAGAAACTTAGCTAAATATAGAACAGGTTCAAAGACTGAACATGAAAGTTACATAAAGTTGGTTGGTCAAAATTTTCATCTAAATAAATTCAAAACATGTTTTACATTCCGGTTCTTGTCAATCTATAGACTAGTTAAAGTTCTAGTATAAATTTAAAATAATAATATTTATGAACTGTATTTTCATATAAATTGTTAATTTAAGTGTTCTTAGTTGTTATAAAAATAATAATTGAGGAAATCCTCAGAGTAACTACGAGCTACAACTCTTACTATCTTGTTGTCTTTTTGTTATACCATTTATTACTTCTAAATTAAGTCATATAATTATGCACCTCGTTGTTACCGTGAATCAATATTACCTAGAACGCAAAAAAATATATTCCTAACAACAACTAACACGACTTTCTTATTAAAATATAAAGTCCTCGTAATAATGAGTGAATCATCAAATTATTAAAAAATCAATATTGTTTATTTACTAAATGTTAAATGTAAACTGTCGAACATTGTTCTTAAAATTTGAATTCGAATTTATATAAATTTAGTTTAATTTTAAAGAATATTATCTGAATAGTTCAAAATGAAATAAATGTACATACTATATGTGTTTTTTTATTTTTAACATCTGAATAGTTTAAGTAGGTATGTATATGTTAAATCAAAGAATAGATACACAAGGATTGTATTACATTTTTTATTTATTTAATTCAAGTTGTTCAGAAAGATTTACATGCATTTTGCTTAAACGCTAAGTTTATTTGCGATCAGATTTATTAAATGTACACTGTGTCAGATAACTGCATGTATTTTATGGCTAGGTTAATGCTCGTACATTTTATCTTCTATGGTTATAATAATATATAAATAACATTTTCATAAAAGTCGAAAAAAGTATGTCAAACTCAAACTAGGCTAGGTACTCATTTCTCTCGGTATAATATAATATAATTCTGAAAAGAGCTCGGGGATAGGCTGGCTAAATAAATAACAATTTCCATTATTAAAAAACAATGTGATTAATATTTTTTTTGTTATTGTGCATCTAATTTATCCATAATTTACACACAACAAATGTCATTAAAGATGGCCATGACAAAAAAAAACATGATAATAAACTGCTAGTATTGTTCATAGATAATATGACGTGCAGTTTGTATTAAAATACAAAATTATATTAATCACACAATCATTACAATAGTGACGTAACTCACGTTTGTCAACAATTAAATTGCCAAAAAAGAAAACTATTAGCATTTGTATATGTATGGTGCTTGAGTTATTATATTATGGATGTGTATATTATTGTTATGAATAAATGTTGTAAATATAGCATTGTTTATATAATTATGAATAACTTGGACATAAAATGAAATTGAAACTGCACCTTCTTTTATTTATTTTTAATATATGTACTTATAACTAAATACAAGAATTCTTCTGGAAGAGAATGCCCAGGGCATTAAGTCTGCCGATGTACATAAGTGCATGAAGATGTAAAATAAAAAATAAATAAATAAAGTATGCTTAGTAGCAATAACAGTCTATATAAATATTATCTACAACAATAACCTACTGAAGTTTTGCATTTATTTCTATAGTGAAAACAATATATTATATATTTGAAAATAAGAAATACCAAGGATTACACCATATGTTCAGAAATATTCGTATTTAAGTACTATTCAAAGTAGTAGTAGTAGTAAAAAGAAACTTGAACGTTTTTCGTTTGGAACCCCTCATGGGTGATAGCTTGGGGTGACTTATTTAGTTTCAACAACACGAAGCAGTAATATGAATATCTATAAAACCTACTACGACTACTATAATACCTAAAAAAACGTTAAATTAACTTCCAATAACAGATGGATACTATTTAGGCAACTACTATAAGTACCTAATATAGTAACTAACTTACCGTTTTTGACTTTATTCCGTACCTATCATTTAAAAATAGTAGATACCTATTTCTTAGAACCTTGCCGTACTTTTCTAAAGTAGGTACGCTTTGCCTGTGTCGACCGACAGATATCGTTCCTAACATCATCAAGTGCTTGTAAAGAGGTTTGTTATAACACGATCCAATCGACCGATTGTCCAAATTATGAAGTAGTTGTAGTGGTAGATGAGAAACTTATCAATTGTAATATTATATAGAATACTTCGTTTTAATGTGTTTATAGATTAATATTGGTTTTCCATAACACAGTCCCCTGTCAATTGGTGAATAAACACAGTGCAAAGACTCAGACTTGCACTCGATATTCAATGTTAATTCTCAGTACATTGATGTTCTCAGTATTGTTCCTAATATCATAGGCTATATTTTTTACCCTTAAGTGCTTGCAATAAATAAACACAAAAACCTTCTTAAAAAAAGTTGAATCGACTTCAAACAATACTAACAATAACATTAATAAAAACCTAGAAGCAATCGCAGTTGATTTGCTGTCACTATCTGAATAGTTCCGTTGTCTGTCTCCGAAACTCATCATCAGGAGTATATGAAATTTAAATGGGACCATTTTGAAATAAACCCCTTTCGAATAAAAAAATAATTTTGAAAATCCATCTATATATAACAGAGTTATGCCCGAACATACATAAAAATATAAACATCCATCGTTTATTATAAGTGTTGTACCTAGTAACATGATTCACTTCACCGATTTTCCAAATTATAAAGTAGTTTTGGTCGTAGATTAAAAAAATCTGTTTGAAGGAATGTTAATGTTCTGTTTAAAAAAATCTGTTTATGGGAAAGGTATTTCGTTTTGATGTGTTTATAAATGACTTATGTTTTTTGTTCCATAATACCGTCCATTATTAATTGGTAAATAAATCCGGTGCAAAGATTCTTGCACTCGGTATTCAATATTAATTCTCAGTATGTTGATGTTCTTAGTCATGAAGTTATCATTGTCACAAATGTGAATATTTTTATGTTTGGAGTTCAGCTAAATACATGAACCGCATATAGCTCTGTTGATGAGATTTTCAGTCGTCTGACATGACGTAGTGCAGTATTTGTTCCATAGCCTCAGGATTTTCTTCCGGTATCTGAAAAAAAGCATTTTTCGCTGTATCGTATCCACATTATGTAATAATTAGGGTATGTCACATGATTATGACGTACCTACCTATTTAAAGTCACACAGACATCTAGACTTCGGCCAGTCCTATAAAAATTATGTCTACACTTAGTGCACTATAGGCATCTCTGTCTTATGTCTAGGCAGTTTTTTTTTTTGAAATAGGTACTTTAATAATAAAATCAATAAATAATTTGATTTTAAACGGGAAATTTATTTAATGAAAGCTCTAAAGACTTGTAAAAAAAAATGTCCCATCAAATAATTGTCGTCTGTGGTGTGTTATATAAAGCTTCCCGCTTCTCTGGCTTGTAATATGACAGTGGGCGTGCATGGTTTCCGTTACAAAAAAAATGTCTACGTTGTTTTTATTTAGTCTAACCAGTAACCTTTTTTTTTGTTTACGTGTGGAAACCCCCTCGGACCTTCACCCCACCGGATTTTACGGCGGGGTGGTGTGTCGGAATCGGATCGACTATAACCATACGGTGTGCCACTCTGCGCTTGTAATAGGAGGGATCCGGGAACTGATGTTATTAAGACATCCGGACCCCTCCTAGGGCCTGCCAGCAACGGCGCGGGCACCACATTCGGGTACATTCTCTATTTAGGCGACATCCGGCACACGCGGACGTAGCCTCCTCGCGGCTGGCCGTTTAGGCGGGTGGAGGGGAAAACCCGTCCCGTCCACTCGCGGCCACACTCAGGGCGGCATGAGGCGGTGGTAAGCGCACCTTCGCCGTCCCGTTCGCCGACGATGGATTTGGTCCGAGTGGAGGTTGTCCTCCCGGGCCGTCTCCGCGCCTCCTTCTTCAAGATGACGTCTTCGCAGAAGGATGCGACCGCGGTGAAACATCTGTCACTACCGGCCATGGAGCGTATGACGGCCGGCAGCGAGAGATCCCCCCCGATGACTGCAATGAGGACCCGGCGCTGCGGCGCCCAAGCCGGGCAAATTACCAGCGTGTGCTGAGCCGAGTCCTCACTTCAATCATCGAGAGAGATCTCTCGCTACCGGCCGTCATACGGTGTCATAGTGGTGACAGGCGGGACTCAATTCCATCCTTGCGACCGAGTGCAGGTAATTCCCAAAGCAGCCGTGCCCGGAAAGGTCCTGCGTCAGGCGGAAGGAAAGGGTCCCGTGATGCCGCCCTGCCCACTTGACGATGACTCGTTGGTCGTCCCGGCTGGGGGCTCCACGTGCTGGCTTTGCCGCCGTGGAGGCGCTCCAGCCGGGACGACCAACGAGCCATCGTGGCTCGACAAGCGGCCTCACGCCATTCGCGTATCTCTTCGGGCGGGGGCCTACTGCCACTATCCGCCCGGCACTCAGCACTAACCGCGAATGGCTCTAACCGCCAATATCCTATGAGGGCGCCAGAGCCGTGCCCTATTCTGGGCGGCCAGAGCCGCCGCCCACTCCGGTGGTCTAACCAATAACCTACCTTAGGGACACATTACTTACTTAGGCAATGATTTTGTAGTCTACTGCATTTTCCTTCAAAAATGATGTCTGATGATACAGGAGATATATTTTTATATTCTATATGCCACCAATGACTTCATCTACCGATGACAGCGACACTGACGATTATTTCTCGGTATCTAGTGGTGACGCCAGTTACATAAGCATTCCTTCACTAGCGGATACAATCTCGGCTCAGTTTTCTGATGTACCCAGGAACTTCAATGTCGTTCACATAAATGCGCAAAGCATTCCGGCACACTTCAGTGATATGCTAACTAGCTTAAACTGTACGAACATACACGCCATCCTTATATCGGAATCTTGGCTAAAGCCATGCCTATCTACCACAACGTACACGCTGCCCGGCTTTCAGTTGGTGCGGAATGATCGTGTGTGTGGACGAGGCGGTGGTGTTGCCATATATATCCGAACCCACATCCCTTTTTCCATTGTTAGTATGTCATCTCAACCACCCCCTGCAAATGCTGGCGAGCATATTTTCATGGAAGTCATACTTCAACACTCAAAGATACTTCTCGGTGTCTACTATAGCCCCTCCTTGCAAGTAAATTATTTCTCTTCACTGGAAATAATTTTAGAAAATTTGACACCTTCGTACAGTCATACCATAGTAATGGGTGACTTTAACACCTGTCTGCTTAAGAACGATTCTCGCTCTTCCTCCCTTCGGTCTGTTTTGGAATCTAACAATCTTTCCATTCTTCCACTTAATCCTACACACAATATGCCAAACCGCAACCCTTCTCTCCTTGATCTCATCCTTGTCTCTTCAGCAGAACACGTGGCTAAACATGGTCAGTGCTCAGCTGACTCGTTTTCCTATCACGACCTTCTCTTCCTGTCCTATAAAACTCGTACTCCTAAAGCAAAATCCAAAACACTTTTACTTCGTAATTTTCGGGGTATGAATCTTGATGATCTTCGCGGAGATGCCGATAGCATCGATTGGAGTATGCTTTTCAACTCGCGATGCATTGACGAAAAAGTTACTTACTTCACGGAAAAATTGATTGCTTTATACGACAAACACGCACCTTTTTGTCTTATTAGGGTACGACATCGACCAGCACCTTGGTTGACAGATGAAATCAAAGAGTTGCAGAGAAAGAAGGAGAGGGCTCATTCCAAGTACAAGCGTCACTCTAGTACCTCAAATTGGGATAAATTTGTCCTTATTAGAAATCACTGTAATAAGGTGTGTAGAAATGCACAACGCCGACACATTCACAAATCTATTGAAAACGGTGATCCAGCTAAAGTCTGGAAATTTCTCAAGTCATTAGGGGTCGGTAAATCACACTCAGATTCTGCTTCTAAAAATGTTGATATCAATTCCCTAAATACACATTTTTCTGCTCCTACCAATTTTGGAGGGACTACCAAAACTACTACTTTAAATTATCTTTCATCTCTGCCGACTCCTAACTGCCCTTCGTTTGTTTTTAGTCAATTTTCTGCTTGTGATGTCAAGAAGAGCGTAATATCTATAACTTCTAATGCAGTAGGAACCGACAACATCAGCCGTAATATGGTACTTCCTATCCTAGATGAAATTCTACCTGTGATTTGTCATATCCTTAACTATTCCTTATCCAATAGTGTTTTTCCATCTGCATGGAAAAGTTCTCAAATTATTCCTCTCCCTAAAAAAAGTAATCCTTCTTCTCTTTCAGACTATCGTCCAATATCCATTCTTCCCTTTTTCTCTAAAGTCCTCGAACGTCTTATCTACACGCAGCTTAATTCATTTCTTACAAAAAATTGTCTCCTAAATCCTCTCCAATCAGGCTTTCGTTCCGGCCACAGTACTACCACAGCTCTTATTCATATTACGGAGGATATCAGGTCCAACATGGAGGAAGGAAAGTTAACGGTCCTTGCCTTGCTTGATTTCAGTAACGCTTTCAACACCGTTGATTTTGATATCTTGCTCGGAATATTGCGCTCTCTTAACATATCTCCAACAGCAATTGACTGGTTTCATAGCTAGGTACCGTACAGGTGTACGGTCGTCAGCAGCGTGCTTGTATTGAAAATAATTATTCCTCTTGGTGCACAACATCTGCGGGCGTACCTCAGGGCGGCGTGCTATCCCCATTACTCTTCGCAGTGTTTATCAACTCCATCACTGATCGCTTACTTTCTTCCTACCACCTTTATGCAGATGATCTTCAAATTTACACTAAAGCTTCTCCAGCTATACTATCTGAAGCTATCAATGACATTAACAGGGATCTGATACAAATATGTAAATGGAGTAAGGAGTATGGCCTAAAAGTAAATCCATCAAAAACTCATGTAATTGTATTAGGTAGTCCTAGGATGAGCTCCGCAGTAAACTGGCAACAACTGCCAGCTATCTGTTGCGATGGGTCCATTATTCCGTTTAGCGACAAAGTCAAGAACTTGGGAATCTATATGGATAAGTTCTTGTCCTGGGCCCCCCAGATTGGTGAGGTCAGTCGTAAATTATTTGCTGCAGCGGGATCTCTGCGAAGACTTCGTAACTTTCTTCCTACCGATACAAAAATCTCCCTAGCACAATCTCTTCTTTTTCCCATCCTGGACTATGGTGATGTTAGCTATCTAGATCTCTCCGAAGACCAATTAAATAAACTTGAGCGTCTCCAAAATGTCTGCATCAGATTCATATTCGGCTTGCGCAAATATGATCATATTTCTGAGTATCGAATTAAGCTCAAATGGTTACCTATACGCCTTCGCCGGAATGTACATATTCTTTCTATTCTATACAGTACTCTGTTCCTCCCACATACTCCAACTTATCTCAAAGAACGCTTTGAGTTTTTACATAATTCACATTGCAGGTCCTTGAGATCGTCAGAGAATCTGAAGTTAAAAATGCCCAGGCACACCACACAATTTACTGACAAATCGTTCTCAGTGCAAGCAGTTCGACTGTGGAATAATCTACCGGAAGTAATTAGGCAAGCCAAATCACTGCAAACATTTAAAAAGCTAGTCACAAATCATTACTTGGCATCATAGAGGAATTTGTGTATTTATGTAACTCTGCTTGTATGATTTTATATAAGTTGTATGTATTTAAATCTATTAGTTGTATGTATTTAAATATATAATATACTGTAAACGTATATATTAGTAACCTTGTGTTTCTTATATATATATTATTATATATATTATTTAGTATAGTATTTATATTATATATTATTTAGTATTTTTTATTTAGTTTTTCAATTTGTTGTAATTGTACATCCCAGGCTACCCTAATTTTGTTGACAATATCCGTATAAAGGTTGTCTGTAAGAGATCGCCGTGAGCGATAAGACCGCCTATTGTTATACCGAAATGTATTTAATATCTGTATATATAATACTTCCATGGTGTACAATAAAGAGATAAATAAATAAATAAATAAATGTCTATTTGTAATACTCGTAATTATGATTCTAATGAATAATAAATACCTAGTGTGTGAGTTATGCCATTTCACGAATTCCTTCCTTGAATAACTCTTATTCATGTAAAATCAATTTTAAAAGGTAAGGAAAAAACTATAAGAAATTATATTCAAATGCACATACATACAAACACACACGTTTTCTGTTACTGAGCTCGCGAATTGCGACTGCTAACTTAAGCAGTGCACGGGCAACACATTTATTAGCGACTTTTTTTTTACAGAGCAAACTAAGAGCAGCTTACAGAGTCAGCTCTGTAAGTCTCATACAGTCATACTGCTTTTCAGAGCTTCAAAGCTTAGAGCTTTGCAAGCTTAGAGCATCACACTGCTCTTAAGTTAAACTTCAAAATGTAGGTACTAAATTTTACCAGAGATTTAAAACTTACCTAATATAAAAAAAAAAAAAAACAAATACAAATAATCACGGGACAACGTATACAAGCTGTCTGTGAACCGTTTTTCTTAAATAAGTATACCTTCATTTTATTGTAGTATTCTACTGTATATTGTAATTAAGATTCTTACCCAGTGCCCAGCACGAAAGACCCACCAAAAACTCAAGTTTTTCGTTTTCTTATAATATCCATTGTTTTCTCCGTTGATGGGGATTCTTTTGGCATTAGTAAACTCATCAGCTCCTGACCATTTTAGCTTGTGAACCCAATTGCAAGCGCCTGCAAGTGTTTTTCATTTTTTATTATAGAGTAGGTAACACGTCAATAACATGTTTTTTTTTACATCTGGGTCTACGAGTGCCACGATGGAAAAAAGAGAATAGAAAAACCAAGCGCTTTTGCTGCTCAACGCAATAAAAAAAAGTATTTTATCTTCTAAAAGACAACTCCCGCACTATATCCTTTGTCGCTGGGGATTTCACAAACATTAATGAAACGGACGCAAAGATATGTATGTTTTTTTTATTTTGCCTGTCTTTCTCTCTATGTTATGTTTTTTTGTACAACGCCCTAGGAATATATTGGAGCCTTGACAAACATACATGAAACAGACACGAAGAACACCCAGACTCAGAACAAAACACCCTGACTCAGAACAAAAATTTTTGGATCGCAAAAAAGTGTTGTTCAATGTGGGGACCGAATCTACAACATCCATCGCATTAGATAGTGGCGAGATGACCGCTTAAACTACTACGCCATCCGTGCAGACAGTATTATATTAATATTTTGTATATCCACGTCCTAATAAATAACAGAAAACATAATATTAGGTCTTTACCTATGAAATTGCCGTTTTGTATGCAATAAGTGAAAGTACTTATTTTTTCAAACTTTTTTATTGCACCTACCGACTATTACTTTTTCCAAAAGTTTGAAAAAATAAGTACTTTCACTTATTGCATACAAAACGGCAATTTCATAAGTAAAGACCTATTATGAAGCAGAAACGGATCGGCAATACAAACGAGCGATAATATAACTATACGATGTCAACTACTCATGGTTAGATACATTAGTGGTATGTTTACCTAAGTACCTACCAACTAGTTAGATAAATTACGTATTTCCAGAATAAAGGAGGGGGTTAGAACAGAAATAAAAGTTAATGCCCTTACCAGCTAGTGGAGTAACTACGTCCAAATTGCCATTATAAATAGCTATTTTCAATTTTGTCTTATCCAAGAGTGCCTCTACTGAAATATGAAAAAAAATCTTAATAGGAATATCACCCTGTACAGCCAGTAACGTACGTAGTGCAATATTTCATATGCAGGAGATAAGACAAAGTATAACACTGTAAGCACTTCTGTCATTCTAGCAGGTGAGTAGGTAGGTACTTGTCAAAACACCAGTACCTACCTATTGCTCCTAAAAAGGTACTTATTCTATTACAATCATCAAGTGCATGCTGTCTTTGTAATGCTGTTAATTCTCATTCTGTCAATTTTTAACAAGTTGCTAGAATGACTATTAACGAGTTGTTGTACTTGTTAAAAAAGTATATTAGGTATTAAATAATCGCTTTCCATTGTATGCTTCTGGCGCTACACTTGCCACTAATGACTACTTTTTACCTTTTTTTATTACATAATTAATTTATTTTAATTATTGTAACTGCTGCAATTGATTTGAATAAAATTAAAAAAAAAAAAAAAAAAAAAAAAAAAATATTAATATTAACATCGGTGCGACATCTACGAGTATTATATCGACATTATGCAGTATCCGATCAAATATTCGAGATATTTGAGGGTAAATATGTACTTACTTTCCTTACATCGTCGTCACTGGTATTCCTGTCAAATACTTCTAAGATCTTTTTAAACAGTCTAAAAAAGTTTGAAGTTAAGTTAAAAATAAGTACATACAGAAAGATGTTGAAGAAAGTAGGAAGCTATCCTTCAAATTGTCATAAACAGTCGTTGACAAATAATGCCATGTCCTTGATTGGTTCACTCCGACTAATGACGGCTTCAGATACATGTTTACTTTCGAGTTGAGCCGCTCAAGTGCTGGATAAGGACTTTGACCATAGACATTGTTAAAGTTGATGAAGCGCTCCTTATTAAGACTATGAAATAAAACACTATCTAACTCATTGGCAGTTGAGAAATCATTTTTCAGTAAACTACGAATCAGTTTTTTGGCAACCTGTGATGATGACAAATATTGATTTCGATCGATGGCCCCCTAAAATAAAAATAATCAATTTAAACAAGTTAATTATGTAGAGTTTTGATGGGTTACAAATTTAGTACCTAGGCCAAAACCTCCTTTCTCAGGAGATCCCTAATAAAAGCTATTCATGATTATGATGTCATAGTTTATGTTTTAGTCACACTCATTCGAGTGTCCCTTGCTTATTTAATTGATTTAATTTTAACTATAATGTCAATCTTTGGCACTAAATGGTGAGCTTTAATTTTTTTTGTTTAGAATCATAGGCACTACGTTAACAGTCAATACAGTGTCCAGTTTTCAAACAGGTCCAAAGTTGATTGCGCCCTTAAAAAACAATATTCTTACTAGTTTGTACTTGATTTCTCTGTGTTTTAACTACCTCGTAGGTGTTTGTACAAAACAATTTGACGACCTCTATGACTTAGCAGCGCATTCGACTGCAACCGTGGTGGTCGCGGTCGCATTTCCAATACATATTTATATTAATACATACGTCTATTGGCCTGGGTGTTAGGACGTTTATATGTATAACATGTATATTTTAACAAAACAATTACCTAAGTATTCGTGTCTTAGTACCTATCGTATGCTAGAACATGATTTTTTTAATATTTTTGTTTAAATTCATTAAGAAAATAAAATGCATCCATTACGAGTATGTCTACCGAAAAGTCCTACCACTTAATCAAAAAGTAATAGTACAAACCGTAAAGTATAAGAATTTCGTTTGTACGGCAGTGCTTTCTTTGGGATCAACCCATCCTCCACCGATTCCAATTCCCTTAAAATTCATTTGTAGGCTCTTCCTTTGAATTGCCTGAAATATGTTTGATCAGAATTATCTATTTGTTAAACTGATTGATTTTGTAGAAGAATGATAAATATTGTATTTTTCAATTGGTCATTATATAACCCATGACTATATTTAACAACGACTTAGATCATAGGTATTTAATTCTGATTAATTGGTACCATTCAATGTTTTGCAAGATTGTTTGATTTATTTTTAGTATGTTCCTTCGATTTTGTTTGTGCCCTTCCGTTCGACTTTTAATTAATATTAGTAAAATAAACAAGTCAAGATTACAAAAATATTTATGCCGAATTCCAAACCGGGATTGCGCTTCACACTTAATACAGTAACAGTTGGTGAGGCAAATAAATAAACGAATATCTGTATGAATTTTTTGTATTACTCTGCCGATATCTTAATAATATATTTCTTTTAGGTTCTTACCGTATGCAAGTAAAATCCTAATCTTGGGCATGCTTTACCTCCATAACTCTGACCAAACAAATACGCTGGCGTTTTACGAAAGTTCTTGTGCCTCCTAAAGAAGACTTTTATTACTTTTGATAAATCCATAGCTGTAAACATAAACCTTCTTTAATCATCTAACGTTTAAAATGTGAATATTTGTTTGTTCGGGACTTAATCGTACTTCCGTACTCTGCCGTACTGTTCATCGACCATAATAAAATTTTGCAAAACTTTGTTAGCGATACAGAAAAGGATATAGGAGGGAGGAAAAAATACATTTACACGAGGAAAATTTATTTATTCCTCCCTATCTTTAGTGGATCAGGCACTTACAGACATTTTCATTCGATTAATTATATGGTTTTCTTTTTGGATGTGATTCTTCGGTGTTGAACCTAAGGGTTTTGCTGTCACTTGGCATAAAGCGACGAAACCGAAATATGAATAAGATGCCTGCATAAGCTTACGTGGTTAGGGGCCTTTAGTTTAGTTAATTACTCCGTTCTTTTTTCCGTAGGCGTTAGTTTTCGAATTCAAATGATAGAGAGTGAAGATGAAGACAAAAATGGTACTCGCCTATCAATGCGAAACCTATTTACTCTTGATTATAATACTTACCTAATTCTCGATCTGTCTTTACATATAATGAGCTATTCGTGACATAACTGAAGCCAGTGCCCACAGGATGATCTATAAGCAATAGATTTCTTCCTTTGACCTGTAAGTTGAAATCGTTCATAAAATTGAGAGAGTAGGAACCGAAAAACTTGCTAACCACTATTCTGTCAGGACCAAGGGCGGATCCAGCTTTGGAGCCAGGGGGGGGTCACATAGTCGTAGTCAAGTCACAAGTAGTTATAATTTAATTTTTATAATCATACATACAAGTAAAAAGTAGGTATTTTATTAATGTATGTAGGTATAGTCTGGCAAAAACGGGTAGAAACGACAACTAAAATTTCATTACTTTAGAAACCCTTTGTCTACTAATCTATGGTTAAGAACGGGTTTCTTGTCTATGGTACAGGTACCGAAGACGTCAGTCAGAAGTAATAATTCCTTCTAAAAGAGAATTTATCTATTTCGCGTATTTAGCTTGTACAGTGGCGCCCTCGTTTATTTCTATTATTTTTTGCCAGACTATAAGTACCTACTCACCTACTGTACTTAAAAATACCTATATTTAAATCACAAAATCAAGTTTTCTTTTACGTCTTCTCCCGAAACGCGTTATCACTTCATCTACTTCAATGGGCGTACCCATTTTTATGGACGTGGAGAAGTGCCAGTCCGGTTAGACGTTCCTCAACCATTGAAGCTCTTAGCCACGATTTAATTCTTCGTAACGTAGAGAAAGATCTTTCATGAGTTCAACACATCTAAAAAATATTTACCCTTAAACATAAGTCAGTGTCACACGTAATGTGACATCAGATGACAGGAGGCGGTGGCGCGGTAAAATTCAAATTTTCGATGCGTTCGTTCCCGAAAAATGCGTATGCCATCATACAAAATATTAATTCATAATAAATTGATTAAATATTTAAGCTATTTACATGAAATCTATACTGTGACAAAAAAAATATATCCTTTTTTAAAACCATTACCTATGTTTAATAATTTTAAACAGTGGCCCACGGTGGACCCAGCCCAGGGGGGGTCATGACCCCCATGACCCACCCCCTGGATCCGCCCTTGGTCAGGACTATTAATAGTCTTTAGTTACCACATAAAAATCACATAAAATCGAAAATATATCACAATTACCAACTGAAAACAATAATGATGATAAATTGAATAACGTATACATACATATATGTAGATACTGCATTTAGTTACATAAATAGCTACTTGATAAGTTATCGGACACGGGATATTTACCATGTTATTCTCGACAATTACTTTAATAAATCGGCAACCAATTTCCGGAAACATACAGGGTAAATTTGTAAATTGTTTGCGTTACACGCAAACAATTTACAAATTTACCCATAAATAAATAAAAATATCCCGTTTCTAATACCTTACCAAGTGAAAATGGCCATAGTAGTTTGAATCAATTTTTAGAAATACTTTTATATATATTTGATTATATAAATTTGATATTTAAATAAATCTAATAAAAATGTTCATAAGGTTTTCAAATTATTCTGCCTATAAAATAATATAATTTCATTTGTTTGCCGCAACATGGCGAAATTTTTTATTTTAGTAGTCAGGCTCATCATCATCATCAACAGCCTATAAGAGTCCACTGCTGGACATGGGCCTCTCCTTAGAAAGGAGGTTTTGGCCTACTATACCACGCTGGCCAGACGGGTTGGTATAGGGTTTGTGACAAGTTTTCCTTTTCTCGGCGGTGCTGTTGTCCTGCGTAGTTTGCCCCCTTAGTCGGCTCTTACGACACCCGCGGGATGAATAGGGGTGGTGACACTCTGTATTCTTAATCCGTCACCACACGGACGAGCTCAAATACTTGTAAATGTAATGTGAAAATTTTACTTCTTTGAGTGTGACATAAATAAATAAAATATATATATTTACACACCCAAGTATGGTTGCGAGGCTTCAAATCCATGTTTAGAGGACCAATTTCTCCAAAATTCCCCACGCCACTAGCTGCGAAACCTGGCCCCCCTTGTATCCATATCACTAGTGGCTTTTCAACGGCATCAACTTTTGTTCCATCCGCATAGAACAACCAATAAAAAATATGAGCCCCTGGACGTACTTGCACATAGCCATGGAAATTCTCCCAATCCCGAAATATTGGTTGTTGAAACGGCACTTGTTCTGAAAGCGAAAAAATGTTTTATGTTAAGAGATAAATGTCTCCATATTATATGCTTGACGGGTAATAGAAGCTAAAAAATTAATTCTCATCGTAGAACCCAATAGATAATTAATATTGAAATAGTAATTTTTAGAGGTACAGCATACATTTGAATAAAACAACAACAATCAAGCGATTTAACTAAACGCGTCCTTTACAATTTGGCACAAAAGTTGTTACGATCACCACAACGTGGGAGACAACAGGAGACAATAACGATTTCTTTTCTGAACGGTCAGTTTGCAAAGAGTTTCGTAATTCACAATATTAAAATATATCTTTCAAGTAAATTATATAATTATTTACTAAACCTATAAATATTTAGGTGCATTAATATAGAGTTTTTTATGGAATATGAAAACAAATGTGAGCAGGGTTTACTAGGGAACACTACTGCAAATGTTTGACTAATTTAAATTTTCTGAATATAATGTTACCGTGAATTAAGTTGGGTTAATCGAACTTTACTAGCCTTGTTTCGGGAGTAACTGCATACTTATAGTTGGCTATAAATGCACTTGAATGAGTTGATTAAAAGCGTAAACAGTCTAACCTTAGAAACACATTAGAAAAATCAGAAAAAATATTATAACGGACAGAGTTACTTCCACGTATTTCACATTTTTTCTCAAACTAGGAAATACAATTTTTGAAATTAAAATAGCGTACCGACCTTCGTCTAAATATATTTCACCAACAACACACGATACCATCGTAATCCAAATAAACAACAAAATCATTTTATTGTTTTTAAAGAGACCCGCTGGAGGAATTCACATGTGCGCTTTAGGATCACTGGGAAACTATTAACATCATTTTAAACTGCCATGTGGTGATATCATTGTACGTATGTTCTCTAATGAATTAATGAGACAAATCAACCAGAAAGTGGACATATGCGCGTTGATCCGTTATTTTAGACAATGTCACGCGCCTCTCATTAGAGACACGATATGTTGGTAAATTACCAAGCGGAATTATTTTGCACTGGTTATTTAAATGAAGCATCGTTACAATTTAGGAGGATATTCTGTGCCCGGATCCCTCCTATTACAGGCGCAGAGTGGCACACCGTGTGGTTTTAGTCGGTCCGAGTCCGACACACACCCCGCCGCAAACCCCGGTGGGGTGACCGTCCGAGGGGAATTTCCACACGTAAAAAAAAAAAAGGATATTTTATTACTATTTATGCGACTAACAATATAATAATATAATATAATATTCTACCAAATTCACACAACGCCATCTAGTCCCAAACTAAGAAGTTATATAAATACATATATAACTACAACTTATATAAATACATATATACTTTCTTTTTTGTAAATACATACTTAATATACATAGAACCACCCAGACCAAATCAAACATTAAATGTTCATGCATACAAATGTTTGACTTGAGCGGGAATCGAACCCGCGACCTTTGAAATAGCAATACGTTACACAAACCACTACGCCATCCAGTCGTAGTTGGTAGTTGAAATTAAAGGTAATTCGAATGTTTCAACACAGCATAGGTAGGGGAGATTGGATAACAGTGGATATTTTTTTTTTAATAGTGCTACTCAGAAGTTAATGGCCAAATGATAAATCTCTGAAAGTAAATCACAAGGTGGGTATCTAATCTTTAAAGAAAAGGGGCATTTAGTACCGTGAATTACATAAACTTGCGAGTTATAACCACTTTAAAAAAAAATGGGAAATGATCCACTGTGACCCGGGGTTGGGTCACTTTGGATCAAAGCATGGGTGACAATGAATCGACTGGGGTACACTGGATCTATACAAAAAAAATACAGTAAAAAGACAATAATTTCCATGTTAATACTCATTTATTTCTACGCATTGACAGTCTTTTATTACGTAAAACTAATCAGTCTTGTAAAAAGTTATGAATTGTCACTTTAATGAGCTTAAATATGGGTGAGGTTTTTTGGGACTCAATCAACTGCATATATTAAGTTTTAAACAGTCTTACAGTGTAGTTGCCATATAATATTTTAATAGGAACATTGTTAACAAATTAACAATTATAATTGAAGACGTAAGTGGATGAAGTCACCTTCATCCACTTACTAATGAGATAGGTCGATACAAATGACTTCAGACCTTAAAATAGTCTTAAAGAAAAAAGTCTGAACACTATTTTAAGGTCTGAAGTCATTTCTATCGACATATCACCTTCATATATGCAAAAAATGACAAAATCTGAAAAATAGGACATATCACCTTCATCATCTTCTATTTTAAAAAACAAAAACATTTACTTCCATAGTAATCATTTAACGTGAAGCTATGAATAAACGAAAATATAATCACTTTGTGCTCTGAGAACAAACATAAAATTTCCCATACCATAAATTAAAAATTTTGATATTTTTTTTATCAATAACGTGTTTACTTTGAAATTGTTAAAATTAACGTAAATTTATTTTAGAAAAATCAATATCGAAGTGGTACATATATTGATTTCTCTTTGTATTGCCAGAACATTTAGGTTTTGGTAAAATCATCTTAATATCCGGTAGTGCAACCGTGGCAATATCCGGCACGTTTGGCATGTGAAAATTATTTGGTATTTTATCTGATCTTCTTAGAAAAGACACCTCAGTGTCATTTTCCTGATTTCCAATAACTTTTGCCACATTATAAATTCGTTTTTCTTTTACTTGAAATTCAACAATAATAAAATCGCCTTCCTTTGGCAAACTTCTAGGTGCAGGAAAGTTGTTGGGATCCACCGACTCATAATCATCTTCTTCATCTTCAAATATCGGTTCCTCTTCAGAATAAACACTTATTTGATCTCCACTTTCGCTGGAACTATCTTGTAAAATTTTTCTTTTCTTGTTTTTACAATTGCCTTATATTTGTTTGCGTTTCTTTTCTTCTCCTCTCATTTCTATTTCATGTTTATTAGGTGTGTCAGTTGCAATCATTGATTTACCTTTACGTCTTGGTGCTCTTCCCCCTTTACGTGGCCCTGCTTTAGGTAGCCCTCGAAATTGGAATGGACTCAGGAATTTCCTATTAACATTTGCAGAAGAAGTACCAGCTGCAGACGACCGAAAGTGCCAGCGTCGATGAAGAACAAGCCGCAATCTTAGAATTATTCAAATAGGAAGTGCTAGCAGTGGTTTTAGGTGGTTCATCTTGCACATGGGCCTTCGTGATTGGCAATAAAGCGTTGACTAATGTAACATCAGGTTGTCGTTGAATATTTGTGTATGAAGTCGGAGGGAGTTCTAGTACATGTGGTGATGGGGTTTTCGTTCTGTCACTGTTATTACCTTGAGCGCCAAGTTCTTCAACTTGAAAATCTAGATTTGAATCAAGGTAGGGAAACTCTAATATTGACGGCGATGGGGTTCTTGATTTATCATCTTGAACAGGTCTATTGCTCTCATTTTGATCATTTTCCACATTCATTTGTCGATCAGTAACTTATGTGAAGTTACTGATCGACAAATGAATGACAAATGACAAATGAATGAATGGTGTAAAATCTAGATCAGTAAAAATATCTCTGTTGAAGGGGAATATTCCGGTGGCTTTGAACGCAGCGCATATATTCCCAGGTGTCATAGCTTTCACGTGAGCTTCCCTGACACATCCAGCTACTCCATATATTGAGAAAGTTTTCCCAGGATTTCGCAACATCCAACTATCTACTGCTTTGTTATAAGCACTTTTAAACGGCCCGAAAATGCCGACGTCTAATGGTTGTAGCTTTCCTGTTGAATGCGGTAGCACTGTTAAAATGGTCACACCATTTTCTTTTGCTAGATTCAAGGCTTCTATGCAAATGTGCGACTCGTGGTTATCGTATATGAGCAGACTAGGGTTTTTCTTTGCTGCTGTTTTGAATGGGCTATAAAATGCTGGATTGTTTGCACGAACAATTCTGCGTTCATCCAGCCGGATGGTGTAGCTAGACCTAAGGTTCCAGTTGGAGCATCCGCAATCATATGTTGTTTGAAATGCACCCTGGGAAATATAATTGCTGGCGGCAGTGCATTACCCAAAGCGCTAACAATATAACAAGTTGTTGTTAACGTCCCGCGTTCCGCGCTGGTGACCTTGGACAACCTGTCTTTGTCCTTTCGCTGCCAAAACTTTGGCACGTTTTTGCACCGTCATGGTATTTGTTTCATCTGAGTTAAAAACTCTGGTGCCATTTGCAAAGACAGTATGTCTAGACATAAACATTTTCTAGGTTATTGAAGAACACACCAACATTGTGACGGTTAAAAGACGTCGCTCTGCTTAAGCTGCATCCCTCAGGGGTGCGCAATGATAATCGATTATCTCTTTTTCTGAGATTATATAAATACTCAATACCAGCGAGCTTAGTATCATGCCATTTATCTGGTACTTTTATATTGTTAATCTTCGCAACTTCGTAAATAAGACGTCGAACATCTGTGATGGTAAGTCCATAAAACATTTGACTGCACTTAACAATATAGTCGACTGTATCTTTTCTTGCTCGACGGCAAATATTTTGTGTACTGCGTAATTAGGTGTAAGCCTTATTGGTTTTTCAGGATCAGGATTATTTTTTACTTTCATATGATACCTATATAATGTTGTAAAAGGAATGCCTGTCGATCTAGCAACAGCCCTTATTTTTTGGCCATCCGATATAAGTTTTAAGGCGTTGCGCACATCTGAAGTCCGATAAGAGTCTTCCTTATCCGATTGCGAGGCATTTTTACCTAAAAAAAGACGAATGCTATTTAGCTTCACGGGTTACAATGGATCAGCAGTCCACTGTGACCCAAAACAAAATGATTCACTGTGACCCATTGGACTTTATGAAAAAAACAATATAACTAAACTAAACTATAACAAACGTACGACAAAATACAAACATTCATATTTCTTCTATCCCTACGAAATAAACCAAAACTTAAAATTACGTGAAAAAAAATAGTTTCGTTACTTACGCTACTGAGCAGAGTGTGACAGCCGCGTGTTCCCGCATTGATACCGCGACGGTGACTATTGCGGAGGAGAGGGAGAGGACGAGCAATAATAACGCGTTTGTTTGTGTATGCAAGTGGCAACACATATTGAGTTTTACTGAATTATCCACCGTACCCCGCGATTCACTGTGACCCATCTCCCCTACTACCTTAAAATCCTTTGTTAATAATATAATTTGTCAACCTGGTGACTGGTTGTTGTGGCGAACCTTAGGAGAGGCTTATGCCCAGCAGTGGATGACTTTCGGCTGAGATGATGATGACATTTTTTTTATTTATAAAATATTAATATTAATTTATTTTGGATCGCTAACAAATGATACATATGGATGTCTTATATAAGTACAAAAATATGCCTTGTGCTCATTTAATTAAAGGCAATCACATCTAACGTAAGTAGAACTTGTACCTACCAGTCTAAATTAAAATGAAATAAAGACATGTAAATTAACAAGATTATAGATAGTTCAACTCAGTTGTGCGCGCGGCCCTATGTGTGCGTGGGCTTGTAAATATACAACTTTCATTCGTGTGGTATTCGTCTTGCTCGGACGACGACTGCCGCGTCACTGCCACACGAATGAAAGTTGTATATTTACAAGCCCACGCACACAAAGGGCCGCGCGCACAACTGAGTTGAACTATCTATAAACTGAATTGAATGAAAGTATTTTTTACTTCTGTTTATTTTATCATAATTATTATAACGAGTACGTAGGATAT